CTCAGCTTATAAACAGGAAAGAAAAAAAAAAAAAAAAAAAAAAAAAAACCTTCTTTCTTGGTCCAGTGCTAGATATGAAGTATCTCTAATATGGCACACTGTTTGGGGACTGTATCTGGTGCTATCCCAAGCCCTAAATTCATGGTTAAAATCAGAAAGAGATATGTTTCTTCCTTGCTGGTTAAAATAGGAATGCTTTCTTATAAATTGAAGGACATAAGGTAATGAACAAAAAAGGGAGGAAATAGAAAGCTGAAAAAGCAAACCAGGTTTTAGAAATTACCTGTAGATCTCTCTCAATTTCCTGTGGATCTCCAGTCCACTTGATGCTTTTATCAAAATCTGCCAGGCGAACAGCATTCTTAGAATCTAAGGGATAGTATGCAGAAGTGCATTGAAAATCCTCATTCTCCATGTTGTCAGAATTAATTCATTTAAACAAATACATAAAATAATGTACAATGTGTCATCTCTGAAGAAGGCAGTATTTCTGTTATAATATAAAGCTTATATTTCTATTACTGTTTACTCCTTAAAACACTGTCAAATGCATGGTTTTGTGAGATTTATTAGGTCTCTGCCAAGAGCAGGATTTACATTTTATTTTTTCCACTCCAGATGGACAGGTGGGAGGACGGATGGAAAGGAATAGGAAAATTAAACCAGCTCCAGATTCATGCAACCCCCAGGGGAAAACAGCACAGATTTACAAAGGAGTTGAAAAGATTGAGGGTTATATCCCTATGGCTAAAGAACAACCAAATAACAAGTCTCCAAATCCAAGACCATCTTAGCAGGGCGTTCCACCTAAGGGAGCCAACAAGTCAAACAAACATCGTGAATCAGTGCTCTGCTTGTCATAAGTCATTGCTTCCTTGTCCACTTCATGTCCACCTTAGACACTTCCTTCCTTGAAGGAAGTGGCTGAAACCTCAGAAAGAGGGGATACATGGATGCGAGAGGCCTCTCAGGTCAGGAACAAGATAAAAGGGCAAGTGGGTGATTTGTTCTGTAAGAGGTCACATGCTTCTGGCTGGAATCAGTCTGAGAAGGCAGGCTGGCTAACACCAAATACAGTAATGGCTTCCAGAATCTTTCTGATTTTGAACTTCAACCTGAAAGCTATGTGGAAATCCAGAATCTAACAAAAAATGAATTTATTAATTACACAATGTGGGCTTTATCAAAGGGAAAACAATGGTGAATAAGGAGAGCCCAGTCCAATCTCTATGGACTTTGGACTCTGGGAAAGGAGATAGATATTAAAAGAATAATTGCACAAACAAACATAAAATTAATTGCACTTTTGAAAATGTTAGCAAAAAGTGCAAGATGCTATGAAAATGTGTCACAGGAAAACCTGCAAGGCTATCTGGGGAGGAGGAGTCTTCCTTAAGGAAGAGATACTTAGACTGAAAAAATGAGTAGCATGTGGGTAGGTGAGTAGAGTAAGGAAGAGAGAATTCCAGGTAGGAATTCCTGAAGCAGAAAAGAACTTGGAAAATCCCACTCTAATGGAAAAAAGGTCCTTGAGTCTAGAGAGGGAGAATGAAGTAAGAAAGTGGCCTACATTGAGGCTGAAGAGGCAAATGGGGTTGAGATCATAAACCAGGGATTGTTTTGAGTTATTAGAACTGATATCAGTTGCTGTCAAGTCAGCGTCAACTCATAGTGACCCCAAGTGTGTCAGAGCAGAACTGTGCTCCATAGGGTTTTCAGCACCTGATTTCTGAAAGTAAATCACCAGGCCTCTGAGTGGGCTCAAACCTCCAACCTTCGGGTTATTAATTGAACGCATTAACTGATTGAACCACCCTGAGACTTCATTTAACTGATAAACAATCAAAACGCAACCACTGCTGTGGAGTCGGATCTGACCCATAGCAACCCCTCCTTGGGTTTCCAAGGCAGTATCACTAGGGAAGTAGATTGCCCAACCTTCCTTCCGGGGAGTGGCTGGTGTGTTTTGAATCGCCAGCCTTCTGGTTAGCAGTCAAATGCCTTAGGCACTATGCTACCAGAGCTCCCATTAAAACTGGTAAGTTCCCTTAATTGTTTAAGTAAGTGACACTTTGAGTTGCATTTTCTGCTACTTGAATTTGAAATTGCCTAGATGAGACATTTCACATCTCTTCTAACACTTGATTTTTTTTTTAATAAACCCCAATTTTTTTATTCTTAGATTCAACAGATGTTGCTTAAATGTCATGAAAATTTCTAAATGCTGACACTTAGTTTCTGTACTTTTTAAATCACAAACTGTTAAGAGTTAGTTGATAGATGGGCAGAGCTGGCCAGAAGGAACTCTACCCACTCCACAATGCAGGCAATGATTCAAAACCACAGTTCTCTTGCTGTCACTCTCATCTTCAGCCTCACCCCATCCTTCACGTTCAGCACAGTTATATAATCTAGGATTGTTATTTTTAAAAGTTTTTGTTTCAAATAAGTTACACATTTAGGTTATTTTTAAAATGAGTAACTCCTTTGCTCTCCCTTGCTGCTTATAATTTTCTCCCAGATTCTCTTTCTCCTTCCCTCCCTCCTTACAAATATCCCGCAACAGTTTTTTCATATAGAATATGTGAGTGGTAAGTTTTCTGAATGGTTGAATGCTTAGAAATGTATTTATTTGGAATCACATGTGAACAATAATTTGTGAAAAAGATTCTTTCTGTTTGGCTCTTTCTTCTTTCATCCAAGTTGTTGAAGACAGAAGTCAGATATCAATCTAATTCTTGTTTCTATGTAAGAAATCCGGAGTTTTTCTTTTTTTGGTAGCTCTTGAGTTTTTCTTTCTTCCTCACTGCTTTGAAATTCCCTTCTGATGTGACTCAATGTGTGTTTTTCCTTATTTGTCCTTCTCAGCTCCTGGTGAGCCTTTTCAACATGAGGCCTGATATCTGTGCTTAGTTCTAGGAAATTCTGTTATTATTATTTTAAAATATTTCTTTGTCCTTGTTCTGTCTCTTTTTTTTCCTCTGGGATGCCTATTAGATGGATGTTGGAACTTGTGGACCTAGCCTTCATGACTCTAAATTTATTTTTCATACTTTCCGTCTCTTTATGCCTAGGAGAATTTCTCAAGATAATTTTCTAGCTCAGTCATTTAATCTCTATTGTAATCCACTATTGCAGTTTTAAAAAATGCACTTAAAATATAAGTCAAATTGTATATTTTGTTCCTTAACTCTCTATTTGTTTCCTTTCACAATGTTTATACTCGCTTCATGGATATAATAGCCTATCTTTGTTCTCTGATTTTATTAATTATATTTACTTTGAATTTGTATTGTGGTATCTTGGTTAGCTTTGTTTCCTTGGGTGTAAATTATTTTGCTTGATATATCTCTTTCATGAGACCAGCATTCCCTAAATACCTTAAATGATGTTTGACAATAAGCCCATCACTGCAACTGAGAATCCCTGATGTCCTTTGTGTTGCTTCTGTTAATGCTGCCCAACATAGAGGAAGGATGGAAACAGTTACCAGACTTCTGCTCTGTACTGTATTCAGTGAAAGTTGGGAGTAAGTAGGACATGTCACTTAGTAGGTTGCCTTGGCAGACAGTCTTCTGGTTTAACTTCCCTTTATCTTTCTTGGGATCACCAACCACCCACTATTCTAAGCAGGGCCCCTCCCTGAAGAGACAGCCCTACGCCAGGTCCCTTGGGAAGAGGGGTTGCATAGATTTTGATCTGCCTCCTTTCTTCTGATATAGCAATCTTCGGGAGTCCCTGGGTGATACAAGAGGTTAAGCTCTTGGCTGCTAACCAAAAGTTAGTAATTTTAATCCACTCAGAGGCACCTCAAAAGAGAGTCCTGGTAATCTACTTCCAAAAGATCAAAGCCATTGAAATCCCTATGGAGCATAGTTCTATTCTGAAACACATGGGCTCACCATGAGTTGGAATTGATGCTATGTCAATTGGATTGGGTGTTTTTATTTGCTTGTTTGGCAATCCTTGTTAGCTGGTCCATTGTCCTCCCCTGCTTCTGGCTTCCATCACCTCTGGGAATGGTGCTCTTTTGCATTGTTCCCACTTTTTAAAATATTTATCTGTGGCTTCCTGTATTTGTCCTGGGCTCATGTATCCTTCTTCAACCCCATCCTACCCATGTTTAGTCTTGCTGATTCTCTAAAGGCTTTTGAATTGTAAAAATTCCTCTTTTATTTTAAACTGAGCTATGAATTCACTTCACTTTTTTCTCTATCATTTTATGGGCTCAATGCAAGGAATAGAGTCTGTAGCATGTGTTAGGTTCACAAACTTGAGAGAGAAGTACAATCAATTCTTTATTCAAATTTAAGAATTTGAAGACATAGTGCTGGAAGTTTCAAAGAATACAGAGTATACAAGTCATTGCTCTTTGTTGTTGCTCTTGTTGTTGCTAGATGCCTTTGAGTTGGCTCTGACTCACAGTGACCCTATGTACAAAAGAACAAAACATTACCTGGTAGTGTGCTGTCCTCACAACCCTTGCTATACTTGAGCCCATCATTGCAGCCGCTGTGTCAATCCACCTTGTTGAGGGCCTTCCCCTTTTTCAATGACCCTCCACTTTACCAAGCATGATAGCCTTCTCTAGGGAATGGTCCCTTTTCACAACATGACTAAAGTAGGTGAGACCAAGTCTGGCCATTCTTGCTTCCAAGGAGTATTCCAGCTGTACCTCTTCCAGGACAGATCTGTTTATTCTTCTGGTAGTCCATGGTATTTTCAGTATTCTCTGCCAACACCATAATCCAAAGGCATCAACTCTTCTTCAGTCTTCCTTGTTCATTGTTCAGCTTTGACACACATATGAAATGATTGATAATACCACAGCTTGGGTTAGGTGCACCTTAGTCTTCAAAGTGCCATCACTGCTCTTCAACACTTTAAAGAGGTCTCTTGCAGCAGACTTGCCCAGTGCAATACAACATCTGATTTCTTGACTGCTACTTCCATAAGTTTTGATTGTGGATCTGAGTAAAATGAAATCTTTGACAATTTCAATCCTTTCTCCATTTATTGGTCCAGTTGTGAGGATTTTCATTTTCTTTATGTTAAGGTATAATCCATACTGCAAACTATAGTCTTTAATCTTCATCAGTAAATGCTTCAAGTCATATTCACATTCAACAAGCAAGGTTGTGTCAAATGCATATCACAAGTTGTTAATGAGTCTTCCTCCAATACTGATGTTCTTCTTTATATAGTCTAGCTTCTAGGAGCTCTGGTAGCATAGTGCCTAAGGCACTTGACTGCTAACCAGAAGGCTGGCGGTTAAAACCCACCAGCCACTCCTTGCAAGGAAGGTTGGGCAATCCTACTTCCGTAGTGATACTGCCTCGGAAACCCAAGGAGGGGTCGCTATGAGTCGGGGCCAACTCGACGGCAAATAACAACAACTTGGATTATCTGCTCAGCATGCAGATAGAATAAGTATGGTGAAAGGATACAACCCTGACATGCAGCTTTTCTGATTTTAAACCATGCAATACCCCCTTGCTCTGTTCGAATGACAGCCTCTTGGTCTATGTACAGGATCCTCACGTGCACAGTTAAGTGTTCTGGGATTGCAATTCTTTCTAATGTTATCCATAATTTGTTATGATCCAGACAAATGCCTTTGCATAATCAATAAAACACAAGTAAATGTCTTTGTGGTATTCTCTGCTTTCAGCCAAGATCCATCTGACATCAGCAATATTCCTCATTCCACATCCTCTTCTGAATCCAGCTTGAAGGTCTGACAGTTCCCTGTCAATATATGGCTGCAACCATTTTAGAATTATCTTCAGCAAAATTCTACTTGTGTGTGATATCAATGATACTGTTTGATAATTTTCACATTGTGTTGGATCAACTTTCTTTGGAATGGGCACAAATATTGATCTCTTCCAATCCGTTAGTCAGATGCCTGTCTTCCAAATTTCTTGACATAGATGAATAAGCACCTCCAGCACTGCATCCGTTTGCTGAAATATCTCTATGGGTACTCCTTCGATTACTGGAGCCTTGTTTTCTGCCATTTCCTTCAGTGCAGCTTCAACTTCTTCCTTCAGTACCATTGGTTCTTGATCATATGTTACCTCCTGAAATAGTTGAACAACGACCAACTCTTCCTAGTACAGTGATTCTATGTATTCCTTCCATCTTTTTTTGATGCTTCCTGCACGAACAGAAGATTTCAAAGACCACCTCGAGAAAACAAAGTAAATTATTATAATGAAATGTGCAAAGACCTGGAGTTAGAAAACCAAAAGGCTGGCATTTCTCAAGCTGAAAGAACTAAAGGAAAAAAGCCTCGAGTTGCACTATTGAAAGATTCTATGGGCATTTCTCTTTAGACTGTTAATATGACACATTCACATCAAGGTCAGCAGTTAGAACCGGGAAGAACCTAGTTTTTGGCTGAGGCTTGAAGGCTCTGTCTCACTCTGGAAAGCTGCACACTTCCTCATATGCTTGTCAGTCCCCCAGCAAAGCAGCTAAAAACCAGGACAGTGTATCAC